ACAAACAGACAGAGCAAAACGTCTCCGAATCTTATTCACCCTCAAAAAGGCATCTAACGTTGTTGGATTTCGTGGGGCATCGGAGTGCATTACATCTAAGCGCAATAACTCCGACTGCCTTGATGCGATCTATTTTCACAAAGCACCGGGTTTTTATTTCGATTAAAGTCGTTTGTACATCTTTTTAAATTCATTTCCTTTCGTATTCTTTTCAAATTCGTTTGTACCGTTATTTTAAACCGTTGTTTGATTTGGACATTCGTCACACATAAAGTGGTATATACCGCACTAACTATACTACATACGAGTATTGATACATGTGTCCTCTACAAAAATTTAGAATTTTTCAATTTAAATTTATATACAAATTTAAATTGAAAAATTCTAAATTTTTGTAGAGGACACATGTATATACACATAACACAAACAAAAAATATCATGCATGGACTGCTATCATATTTTTGGACTTTTTGAATAGAAATGATGAATTCTTTCTTTTCATCCTCTCCTTGTTTACTATACAAATATGAAAACTCTTAACCCCCCCCCCCCCTGCGCATAATGATTTGAACAAAAATGAGTTTTTTTTTCATAACATTTTTAAATACTGTTTCCGTATATTTTCCGTTTCAGATTTAATTTTGACCCACAAGTCTGTCCCCTTCTGACCCATGGGCTTGAAAATAATCTCATTCGGGACCTGAAGAAAACTTTCAATGACATTTATCTTTGTTTGACCCAGTCACCGTGGTCTTGTGAGGATGTAGCGAGGGATCAAACTAAGGAAAAGATGATCTTAGAAACCCCCCCATCCCAAACCCTGAAAGAAGAGTCATTAAAACAATAAAGAGAGAGAGAGAGAGATGAAAGAAATCGACTTGTCGCCTCCTTCCTCCAACACACGTAACCAAAACCTTATCATAACCGGAGGCAGGGTCCCGAATGACATTGGACCGATCATGCATTTTGTTCATATAACCCGGGATCTCTGGCTATGCAAGTGAGAGGACACACCAAGTGGAATAACTCATAATCTTTGAGCTTGGTCGGAGTGACCCAAGTCAACTTTTTATTTTTACGAAATGACTCTGGAATATTACAATTCCAAAGTCCTTCAAGATCTGAGGACCTTTCCTCTCCAGAGCGGCTCACAGGTGTTAGGGAGTGGCTCTGTTGCCCAACCTGTATACAATGTAAGCAGAGACAGACATAATCCAGTGTCCGACTTTTATTAAATTAAACAATCCATTTCTTTCTATTAATGATGACAAGAAATAATTTTACACAAGATAATAAACATTATAATAAACATTACTACTTATAATATAAAATATTTTAACCTGTAAATAAAATTAGCCTTCTGAAAATTTTATTAATTTTCATAAAAACGCGCAAGTCTACAAAATGATCTCACCTGTATAAAATGTAAGCAGAGACAGACACAATCCAGTTTCCGACTGAACTGTGTCCGCCCGGCCGCTCATTTTATACCAGGTGTACCCTTGTAGCTTTACATCTCCATATTTGTAACTCCTTCGAAATTTGCAATAATTACTTTAAATTTTAATTTTAATTACCATTATTCTGTCCTCCAACACCCTTTAATTTTCTAATGCACTTTAAAAATCATTTTCTATCTTTTGCGTAATCTTTAAATTTTAATTGATGTAGCTAATTTATACCAACAACTGACCTCTGGTCACTTTAAAACTATTGGTTGCTCCTTCCTCCTAACCAAATATATCATATGACAAACAACTTAAACAACCGCATTCCAAGAAATTTTCTTGGAATCGTATAGGTGAAAAGGTCAAACCCTTAGTGGTCATCATCTCTCATTATTTTTATTTATAGAATTAGCATCTGTTATCTCTCTTGGCACAATACACAAAATTATTTTACTTTCTTATTTTTATGCAATTTTTGTTACGATACACGCACAAAAGAGGTTTTTTCGAGTTTTGAGAAATTGCTTACTTTTTTAGTCAAAACAACTCTGAGATGGATTTTAGTGGGTATCCCCCCCCCCCCCCATCAAACCGCATAATTTCTGGATATCTGCGCTTGAGATCTGGTCGTTTTTAAGATAATATCTTATTAGCTCGCTTGAGCTAAAATCTCAAACGAGCTTTTCTGATCAAAATTTTGTCTGTCATCTGTGCGTCCGTCTGTAAACTTTTCACATTTTTTCACTTCTCCAGAACCACAGGGCCAATTTTAAGCAAACTTGCCACTAAGCGTCTTTAGGTAAAGGGGATCTAAGTTTGTTCAAACGAAGGGCCACACTCTCTTTCAGAGGGAAATAATTAAAAATTAGTGAAAATTTGGTCGCATCACATGAAAATCTTCTCAAGAACTGCTGGGCCAAAAAAAAAAAAGCTGAAACGTACTTGAAACCTTCATACTTAGTGTAGATACAAATGTTTTTTTTGTTTGTTTTTTTTAAATTATGACCTTGGGGGTTGGTGGGGCGACAATAGGGGGACAAAGATCTTCACAGGAATACTAGTTTATAGGAAAAAATCTTCGCAAGAATAGAAATGTCATGATTAGACATATTGATTTGATGCATCCTCGGGTATTGTAGATTCAAGTTGTTAAGTCATGATCCCCAGGGGTAGGGTGAGGCCATAATAGGAATCAAACTTTAACAGAGGAATATATAGTTTAAAGTTTAAAAAAATCTTCTCAAGAACAGCAAAGCTATGATATATATATATATATATATATATATATATATATATATATATATATATATATATATATATATATATATATATATATATGGAAGCATCTTCAGGTAGTGTAGACTCAAGTATTTCCAAATCATGACCCCAAGGGGTGGGTTTGGGCCACAGAACAGCAAAGCCATGATTAGTCATAATGATATGAAAGCATCCTCATGTAGAGTAGATTTAGGTATTTTCAAATCATGACCTCTTGGGGTAGGTTTGGGCCTCATGGGTGATCAAAGTTTCACATAGGAATGTATAGTAGAAAAAAATCTGCTGATGAAGAACAGCAGTCATATTGACTCAGGTGAGCGTTGTGGCCTATGAGCCTCTTGTTTCGATTACCTCAAAACCTGGGAGGAGCATGATTTGAACAAACTTAAATCTACACTTACTGAAGTTACTTCCATATCTATTGAACTAATCAGTTCTTTAAAAGATTTTATAGATTTTCTATTATACAATCCTATCTAAAAGTTTGATCTTCTTGTGACCTTCTATTGTGCGCCCCACTCTACCCCCGGGAGTCAAAAATTGAACAAACTTCATTCTATAAGTAGTTACCTGATGATGAAAAACTTCCATACTAATACAATCAATATGGCTGTGCTGTTCTTAAGGAGTAGATTTTTAAAGATTTTTTTCTATATTAAAATTTCTATATAAATCTTTGATCGCTCTGACATTTTGGCCCTACTCTATCCCAGGCGGTCATGATTTGAACAAGCATTCTGAGAGTATTGCATTAGCAATACTAGTCCCCTACCGGCAAATATAATCTGGTTCCCGTTAAGAATTGAAAATGCCATAGTTCCGTCAAAATTCAATGAAGCGGGACGAAATGCAAACTTGATCTATAACTAATCAAGTGAAAGTCATATACCAAACATCAGCTCAATATCTGAAAGCGTTTAGAAGAAAATTGCGGAAAACCCTTAAAAATTGAAAAGGACGTAATTCCGTCAAAAATCAATGAAGCGGAACGAAGTGCAAACTTGATCTGTTACTCATCAAGATACACTCACATACCAAAACTCAGCTCAATATCTGCAAGCGTTTAGGAAAAAAGTGCGGAAAACCAAGTGGGACAGACTGACAGACAGACAGAGGGACAGACAGACGGACGAACAGACTCAGAGGAATCCTATAGTCCCCTCCGGTTTCACCGGTAGGGGACTAACAAACAAGAATCTACACTACTTGAAGATGCTCCCATATTAAGACCAATCATTGTCATGCTATTCTTGGGAAGTTTTTAACCCACCCCCTATATATTCCTGTTTAAAACTTTAATCGCCCTTTAATGGCCCTACCCTAGCCCCGGATTTCATGATTTAAATAAACTTGAAGCTACACTACCTGAGGATGCTTCCATATAAATATGAATAATCATGACTTTGCTGTTCTTGAGAAGAAGAAAGATTTTTTTTCCTAATAAGAGATATATAGCTTGATCGCCCATTGTGACCCCACCCTAGCCCCGGGGGTAATTAATTCAACAAATTTCAATCTTCACTACATGAGAATGTTTTCATATAAATATAATTAATCAGGGCTTTGTTCATCTTGAAAAGAACTTTTTTTTTCAATATTTTACCTAAATATTTCCATGTAAAACTTTAATCGCCCATTGTGGCCCTGCCATATCCCCGGGCTTATGGTTTAAACAAACTTGAATCTACACTATGTAATAAGGTTTTAACATAAGTTCTATTTTTTTCTAGTCTAGTTTTTATTGAGGAGATTAAAGATGCCATTAATTTTTCACTAATTTTTAACCATCTGCCCTTGAAACAGGGGGCACTTCCTGTGTACAAACTTTTAAAAATCACCTTCGCCCAAGGATGCTTTGACAAATTGTTGAAATTGGCCCAGTGGCTCTTGAGAATTAAGACGTCGAAAATGTGAAAAGTTTATGGACGACACACGCCAGACGGACATCGAACTATCTTAGATTAGAAAAGCTCACCTGATCCAAGGGCTAACTAGTATGAGCTAAAAACTTATTTATCATATATAGCTAGACCTTTTTTATTTAATATTTGAATGACTTCAACATTATATTACACCAGAAGCTATCAAAATGATTCTTTTTTTATTTATATATATTTATTATTATTATTATTATTATTATTGGCTCAGAAGAGCGGAAACTCCTCCTCCACTCTCCCTTTTCAAGAAGCGTGCTTTGATTTGAGTTTTCGCGGGAAATCCTCATCTTCGTGTTCGGAACACCTCTTACCTTACTAATGATTTATATCGTCGACGTCATTTGTTTGCGCCATTTCTGATAGGAACAGAGTGTCAAACAGTAGTTAGCGTAAGGTCTGATCATTGACATCGTCTCTGCATGTAAAAGGTATTAACGGTGACAATGCCAGAGAAAAATGGAGATACGTATAAAACTTTTAAGCAGAGGAAAAGTTTTGGTAAGAATTTTTTGTCTGTGTCATATGTCCCATCATCACCTGTTGAACATTGTTGAACGTTGTGTCAAATCAAATGGTCTCATATGGTTTGGCGATTTTAATATGTTTATATGTAGGTAACTGGCACATAAGATATTTATTTATATTCGTAGATCAATACATGTAGTGCATTTCAATACTGTATGTATCGATACTTGGCCGTTCTGGCGTTCAGCTATAAGTGGTATCCAGTTAATTGTAGTAAATTATTAACAAATTCAAAGCAAACATTTTAGAATAAATTGGGACAAAAATCCTTTAAAACGCAGTAAACAATAATAGACCTACAGCATAATTCATGGCGAGATTTGCAAATGAAGTGTCGCACGCATTCTAATATGACTGATGAATATGTATTTTGATGAAAAACCAATTTAAATTGTTAAGAGAGTAATAATTATAAGTCTGCTTATGTTGAAGGGTTTTGACTATATAGTCTTTTTTTTAATAAATAAATAATAAATTGCTTAATTTATCAAACTATAGATTCTTTTTGGTATGTCTTAAATTATTCAGAGGAGTGGACAGTATCACTATTCCCATGGTCTCGTCTACATTAACTAAAAAATTGATTTATTTTGTTAATGCATTGAGAAAAAGGTATATTAATGTGAAAGATTAATCAGACAAATTAGTATCAATCGCCTGAAGCGTAATGTTGACCTTGACTCAGGTACATAATGTCATGTGACATATCCTAAATTTAAGCCTAATGTACACCTAGTAGAAGCAAGGACACATTTACTGTACAACATGCAGCGTACATGTACATATCTCAAACTGTGTGAATTATCCCTAGTATCTTAAACAAATAAGTCATCATCATTGATTTATCTGCACATGTATAAAAAATAGGTCACAAGTGATGTTCATTGTCTATACCTATACAGCTCAAATACAGCACTCACTCAAGTATACTACTTTCAAGCATGTTGCTGATTAAGATATCCAGCATAATTTGTTTTTGTTTCTGTGGATTTTTTTTTGAAAGTGATTTAAAGGAAAAAAAGCTAAACAGGCAAAAAAAGAAATAGGCATTCTTATTGTAACATGATTCAAAATTTCCTTGGAGATTCATTGTGAAAAATTTTGTATGAAACATAGATTATCCAGATTGAATATTTATGACTTTCTCAATGATTTTAATTTTGTTGTCTTTCTAATTCTCTCCATGCTTTGATTTGTTGTTTCCTGTTGTCATATTTGCATAGCTAAAGAATGTGAAGAAAAAGTTGAGACAGATACTGTCACTGACATCAAGAAATGCTTAAAATTGAATTATAATAAATCCTGTGAGTTTTAAAATGAATGGATAGATGGAAGGGGTGAGTCATGACTCAGTTACGAAGATATTGAGATGAAGTTTTTATATCTACTTACATCAGACTACATCCATTTGTAAAACAAAAACAGTTTTATTATAGGATCAGATATCTTTGCATAGGTGCAGTTGTGTCCCATGACAATAAATTGACAGAACAGAATGATTCATAGAAATTTAATTCCTAAAATTAAAAATGAGCCCTCCTGATTAAATCTAAAGGAATGAAACAAAACTCTGTCCCTTTATTATTCACACTTTTAAAGGGGGGGGGGGCTAGTAAAAAGTACATGTAATAGTGATTCAGGCTAGTAATAGTTTGCCAATACTAGCCCGACTGGGATAGTGTTGAAAAAAGTTTTAGGTGTGCACTGTCACAGTAATAAATTAGAAGTGTATAGATTAACTTTATTTATTATTATACAGTTGAACTTCGCTATCTCGAATACCATTGATATGTCGAAGTAATTTGGAAGTCCCAACCACTTATTCTTTTTTAAAGTATTTTACCATCGATATCTTGAATCCTACAATATCTCGAAGTTTTTTCTCAATCCCATGGAGTTCGAGAAAATGAGGTTTGGCTTAATTATTTTTATTTTAGGAGTAGGGTGGTGGTGATATATTTTAATTTAAATAATTTTTTTTTTTTAGCATTTTCTATTTTATTAGCCACCTTGAACATTTTAAGTATTCTCTTAACATAGTTGTGATATCTGGTTAATGCTTATGTTATTATGGACTTCAAAATGTTCAAAGTCACAGATTGTACAGGAAATTAGGCCAACAATAAAAAATGTTTGATGTACTCCAACCGACCCATCAAAACTGCCCCTACCCAATCATTTTTTTAGTACTTTAATTTTTTTGATTTTTTTTAATGGGAAAATACATATTGTCTAACTTGCTTAGGTTCCATATGTCTTTTTTTGGTTTTGCTGCATTTGACAAACATATAAACTATGTTGATGAGGATTAGATAAGATTCATGGTAAATCTCTGATTGTCTTAACATTTAATTATCATGGTGTTAGATAATTCCAAAAGTTAAAAAAAAAAAAAAAAAAAAAAACCTACCTACCCACCCACCCACCTTGAAAAATTTGGGTCAGAGTACATCGAACAAAAAATTTTTAATGATGGCCTTATGATGTAATTTTGAGAGCATGTATAGGTTTAATAGAGAACTACTCTGTATGGACTCCAATTGTCATTTTTGTAATGAGCTAACATAATTTATTGTAGCAACTGAATTTCTATTTCTCTTTGTTAAGTGGTTTAGATATTAGGGGGCAGTGTCCTGTTGACATTTTGTAATTTGAAGGATGTTTACATTTTGACACATATATAGGGTCATGTTCTTTAAGGTCATTATTCTTTAGATCAGGGTACAATAATTGATACCTGCTTTATTAGTGGCATCAAAAAACTTGAAGTTTAATGATTTGAAATCATACATGTTTGTTTCATCTCTAATATTAGATGATTAGTCATACACCATGTGGGTTATATTAAATTCTTAGTCTGCTACCCCCTGAGCTGATTATAATTCAAATTTGTGTGGGTATCTTTAAATAAAAAAATATGTAAATTCTACTTTAAAGCTTTATATTGCGTATCTTAGCTTAAAAATAAAAATACGAGATTGAGTGTAGATGAACATGATATTTGTTATTTATGTTCAAATTAAAATTTTCACCAATTTTGAACTTGAATAACCCCACGTTCCTATTGTTAAAGTAATTGACTTTAAACTGTGTCTGATATTTAAATGCGGAGCCGGTAAATAAATTGGTTATTGTTTTAAATTTCTAATATGTATGAAACAAGATTGATTTAAATTGTGTAATTTACAGGAAAGTCCTATCTTTATATAAAGTAATAAAACAAATAGAAAGATCTTTTTAATTTTAGGTAGTCTGAACTTATCAAAAATACGCCATATATGACTTTGAAGTAAAACTCTATCAATTTTTAGGTCACCTGAGTCACTCAGGTGACCTATTGCTATCTGTTTTCGTCCGTCGTCGTCCGTCGTGCGTCGTGTGTTAACATTTGAACATTTTCAGCTTCTTCTCTGAAACCGCTGAACCAATTTCAGCCAATTTTTGCATATGGCATCTATGTGTGATGGGGAACAAAATTTGTGAATTTCATGGTCCCTGCCCCCCTGGGGCCTGAGGGGTGGGGCTAAAACCATCAAAATTAATGCAATCTTTAAAAATCTTCTTCTTTACTCCTGGACATCAAGCAGTCAAACTGTTGACATGATTGTAATAAGCATTGAGCCCTGTACCAAAATTGTGAAATTCATGGCCCCAGGGTCAGGGGTTCTGGTGCTAGGGCGGGGCTATATAGATCATATAGTGAAAGTGCATTATTTCTTTGAAAATCTTCTTCTCTACTCCTGGGCATTATTGAAACAAATTGAATACATAGTTATGATAAGCAAGGGTGACTCTACCAAAATTGTGAAATTCTTGGCCCCAGGGTCAGGGGTTCTGGTGCTAGGGTGGGGCTATATAGATCGTATAGTGAAAGTGCATTATTTCTTTGAAAATCTTCTTCTCTACTCCTGGGTATTATTTTAACAAATTAGATACAGAGTTATGATCAGCAAGGGTGACTCTACCAAAATTGTGAAATTCATGGCCCCAGGGTCAGGGGTTCTGGTGCTAGGGGGGGGGGGGGGGGGTATATAGATCATATAGTGAAAGTGCATTATTTCTTTAAAAGTCTTCTTCTCTACTCCTTGGTATTATTGAAACAAATTAAATACATAGTTATGATAAGCAAGAGTGACTCTACCAAAATTGTGAAATTCATAGCCCCAGGGTCAGGGGTTCTGTTGCTGGGGGGGGGGGGTATATAGATCATATAGTGAAAGTGCATTATTTCTTTGAAAATCTTCTTCTCTACTCCTGGGTATTATTTAAACAAATTAAATACATTGTTATGATAAGCAAGAGAAACTCTACCAAAATTGTGAATTTCATGGCCCCTGGGTCAGGGGTTCTGATGCTAGGGTGGGGCTCTATTTATTATATAGTGAAAATGCATTAATGCTTTAAAAATCTTCTTCTCTGCTTCTGGGTATTATTTAAACAAACTAAGTACATTGTTATGATAAGCAAGGACACCTCTTCCAAAATTGTGAAATTCATGGCCCCAGGGACAGGGGTTCTTGTGCTAGGGTGGGGCTATATAGCTCCTACAGTGAAGGTGAATTATTTCTTTGAAAATCTTCTTCTCTGCCCCTGGGTACTATTTAAACAAACTAAGTACATTGTTATGATATGCAAGGATGCCTCTTCTAAAATTGTGAATTTCATGGCCCCAGGGTCAAGGGTTCTGGTCAAAAGGTGGGGGGGGGGGGGCTCTATTGATTATATAGTGAAAAATCAAAATTTCTTTGAAAATATTCTTTTCTGCTTCTGGTTAAAAAGCAAAGAAGCTAAGTTTATAGTTATGATGTGCAAGAGTGCTTCTTCCAGAGTAGTGAATTGCATGACCCCTTGGTCAGATGTGCTGGTATAAGGGTGGGGCTGTTGATTCTATTAAATAATCCTGTCTGCTCCTTAATGTTAAGCAGTTAAACAAAGTGATTACTTACGATGAGCAAACTTGAAACTTCTGGTCCCAGGGTGAGAGGCTCTGGTGTTTCTCGGTGGTGAAGGGGGGAGGGGGGGCTCTATTGATAATATAGTGAATCTGTAGTGAAAATGCATTATTTCTTTAAAAATCTTATCTGCACTTGGGCATATCAGAGGCAAAAAGTGTAAAAGTTGTAATAAGGAAGGGTATTTTTACCAGATTTTTGAACATCTGGACCATTTGGTCAAGTGTTCTGGTCCTAGCCAGGGCTCAATTAATTTGCATTCTACTGAAAGGAGTTATTCCCCTTTGCCATTTACTTTTGATAATTAATCATTGTAAATAATGTACTTGAAAATTAATAGAATAAGAGAATTATGCAAGAATTTTTATTGTGTAATACAAAAAGTATTTTCATAGTTTTAATGATCATGTGGACTTGTAAGTAATAGATAAATGAAAATGAGACAAAAATAACTTGTCTTATTAAATGTTCATCAAAGACCAAGAGAGGCCAATGTAAGAGATTACAACAAGGAATTAAAATAGTACAAAAGCACTGATAGTTTGTTAATATACTGTATGGTGATAGTGATAAATGGGGAACAGATTAGAACCTAATTTATGAACTGTTAATGAATAGTAGACTAATTATTTTGTTGATCCTGATCACCCTATTTTTCTTGCTTTTGGGCAACAAAGCTTCACCTTTCATTTCATTTTAATACTCTATGGATCCTCTAAATTGTTGTATTGTACTCAGGTGACCGTTAAGGCCCTTGGGCCTCTTGTTCTTACTTAAGAGACATTTTAAAGTATGAGAGGATTTTGAATGATGGCACTATTTAATTACATATTATTAATATATAAATTATGTCACTATTTATATAATTAATTAGACATATTTTTCTCAATCTTTAGAATCAATCTGTTTTCTTTTGGGGTACATACATGTATGAAAATATTAATTTTCTGTATTTGGACAAATGTTCCATACAGAGGAAAGTGATAGGAGGTCAGGGTTTAAATAAGTAACTTGTTAATAAATTTTAAATTTATTTTATTAAGGGGCATAACTTTTGGGGGGAAAAAATGATGTGTACACAAATATACTGGCAAGGGGTTTTGATTGAAAATTAACGTGTAAACAACTGCGTTTTTGATTATAGTAAGCTATATACAATAAATTGATTTTTTCTTAGTACTTAGGGAAGTCTTTTTGAAAATTGTTCTACTTTTATGTAGAAAGTATTGGTATGTTAATTTGCTCTTTTAGTTATTTTAGTTTCATTAAAGTTCATTAACTGCAGGTAAATTATTATTTTCAGCTGTGCGGAAGGAAGAGGTTGTAGGCATAAGATCAAAGTTCCCTACAAAAGTACCGGTATGTTATTGACGTTTTATTTTTTTTTCTCCTTTTTTGATTTTGACAGTAGAGTCTTGGAAAATTGATATGTCTTTTGTAATTAATTGAAGTGTGCTTCTGCTGATAAACATAACTGCATAAAGGCATTTGATTTTAAAACAATGAAATACTTTTCAGTGTAACAATTTGCATAAATACGACTAATATCCGATTTTCTTGTAGCACTATAGGTACTAAACAGTCCACTAGATTATGAGATAGCACCAATATTTTCTAAAAGTATTTTGTCTGCATCACAAACACATTATGACATTGGCAGTTTACTAAGAATATTGGCACTGGAAATTACAGTCTAAAAATAGATTTTGGTTTTAGGTTGTACATGCAATATTTCCCTTCAGTTAAGAAGTCAGTTAAAGGAAGTGTTCTGCCTTCTTTATTTTGTATAAAAAATATGAAACAAGTAATTAAGAAAATGCTATAAAATGGTCATGCATATCAGAAAAAAACCTTGTAATTGTTACAAAAGTACTGTTCCTGAAAACAGTGTTAAATAGATTACTTAGGTTTGCAAATATGTTTTTCTTAACAACTTGGTTTGATTCATCGTTGTCATGTGCAAAGAATATAAAAACAACAACTGTGGGAGAATGGTTTTCAGCCAGTATACACTGGGAATAAGACAGGCACCAGCCAGCTATAATCATATGAATCTGTCCACATTGTACTGGTTTTAGCTTGTTTAAATCTGTACACTTTGTGTGACACCGATAGTGGTTATCTAAGTCACTGTAATAATTAATCTCTGTGTGGTGGTATCTATTGACATTGTATTCTGTGTCTTTGTAGGTGATCGTAGAGAGATACTATAAGGAGCAGCATCTTCCGATGCTGGATAAAACAAAATTCCTCGTGCCTCAAGAGCTCTCCATGTCACAGTTTGCCTCTATTATTAGGTAGGCAATAAATCTGACTACACATGAATAAAATGCCCCTTTTATAAGTAAAAAAAAAATCCATTTACAACCCTGATTTTGATATACATTTAATATTTTGGGAAATTTGTAATGATATAGTAAACAGTTCTAGGAAAAATGATTAAGCAGTTAAGTAATTTACTCATTGGATTTTGAGAGTTATAATCTTGACTTTTCCATGTTCAAAATGAACAGTGGAGCATTTTAATTGAATCAGTATACATGTATGTACTCTATTATGCTTGCTGAATTGAAATGTTTCTGGATAGTGACAGCTGATTATATATATTTATTACATTTTCAACAGTGAAATACTGTGATTTATTTATTGAATAAAAGTGATATTCTCTCACAGTGTGAAAGGATACCAAAAATGTTATTCTCTCACAGTGTGAAAGGATATCAAAGTAAGTAAAAAATAATTTCTGGCCTGTCATAAGATAGAGATAGTAACTAAGCATCTTGATAGAGCTAAAACTGCAAATTTCTTCCTAAATATGTTGCTAAAATCCATGCTATGTAATGTTTTCAATCTGACACACAACTTCTAAGCTATGACGTCTCAACCGCTCAACTATGACGTCAAGCCTATGACACTGTGTTAAGAAAAGACAGAGGCAAAGGGAAAATGAAAGAAAATGTAATAAACAGAAAATTCAATGTTTTGTAGATAAATATGGAATTTATTTCACTCGTGAGACAGGATTTTTTTTGATATTTTCACTCGTGCTTCGCACTCGTGAAAATATCAAATAATCCTGTCCCACTCTTGAAATAAATTCCATATTCATCTACAAAACATTGAATATCCTCTATATATTTTCCAGGAATCGTATGTCACTGAACTCGAATCAAGCATTTTATCTCATAGTGAACAACAAAAGTATTTCAAGCATGTCAATGACACTGGCGGAAGTTTACAGAGATGAAAAAGATGATGATGGCTTCCTTTACATGACTTATGCATCTCAAGAAATGTTCGGAGGGTGTTGATATTATAGTGCAATGTTGTGATTGGGCAATAAGTTATTGATCATTTGATCAGATCTTGGAATTTGCCTCTGAATCAGAATTTTCAGAGTATTGGAGCCAGTGCCATGGAATTAGTTGATACACTGTGTCATTGAAATAAAAGTGGATTCATATGATTATTTGTCATCCTCAACAATTCATCGTAATGATTTTGTTGCCATGCTGATTTATTCATAATTATATATATAATGTATCTATATTTTATTTCATTCTTCTGTTTGAACAACTTAAGTACATTTGAACCTATGTCAAACACCTCATTGTTTCTTTTGTATTATTCATTTTGCAGAAGCAATAATTTTTCTAAGAACACATTTTTAGAATGGAACAAATGCAAAGCTAAATGATTTTTGCAAGAATTGACATTTGTTTTTTAATTTGCAACACATCTATACAAAATGTTTCAATTTTTTGCATGTCGGATAATGCCTTGTAGTTTCAGTAGGTTATGTAAGGTCTTCCACAGCATCTTGCAGTTTTGCAAAGAGTTGCTTCCCCTTTAAGTTAAAATTTTGTGTAAAACTATTAAGAAATTAGACATCCGGGTTTGTATTGCATGTTGTGAACATATCGATTTATACTTAGTTGGATTAATCTTATCCTTAGCTGTCATGTCTAGGTTTATTTTGCTTTGACAAACTTCGAACTCTTGAATCTCACTTGAAAATATCTCAGAGTTTATTTGTATTAAATGCAACTGGATACTGGCAATTACTGTGCCTTTAACATTTGAGTCTTTGAAAGAATTATAAGTACAGTGTAGTGTGAACTTGGATGGATAGTTTACATGTATGTTGTTTTTATTTACAATTAAAGGCTCATGTGAGCTTTTCTGATCGAAATTTCTCCGCTCTATTTGTCATTGTTGTAAACATTTCTCATTTTTATCTTTTTCTCCAGAACCCCTGTTCCAATTTCAACCAAATTTGGCACAAAGTATCCTTCGGTAAAGGGGATTCAAATTTATTCAAATGAAGTGACACACTATCTTCCAAGGCAAGATAATTAAGAAATAGTGAAAAATGGATGGGGTCATTTAAAAATCCTCTTCTCAAGAACCACTGAGCCAGAAAAGATGAAACTTATGTGAAAACTTCCTGGGGTGGTGTAGATTCAAGTTTGTCCAAATCATTATCTCCGGGGGTAGGGTGGTGACACTATAGACAATCAAAGTTTTTCATAGGAATACATAGGAAAGTCTTTAAAATTCTTCTCAAGAAGAGTAAAGCAATAATTAGTCACATTTATACTGATGCATCTTCAGGTAGTGTAGATTCTAAATTGTTCAAATCATGACCTCCAGGGGTGGGATGGGGCCACAATGGCCAATCAAAGTTTTACATAAGAATAATATATAGGAAAAATCTTTTAAAGTCTTCTTCAGAACAGCAAAGCCATGATTATTCATATATGTATAGAAGCATCCTCAGACTCAAGTTTCTTTAAATCATGATACCTAGGGGTAGGGAGGGGCTGGAGGTAAGATGGGGCCACAATAGATTGTCTAAATTTTACATAGGAATATATTGGACTCTGGTGAGCTTTGTAGCCCATAAACCTTTTATTTACTAAGGTATCGGTACATTATTGTGATAGACTTGTTTTGTGATACCTTTAAAAAAAACTTTTGTTTTGTTCAGATAGGGATATTTGAGTAAGGCTATATGTAAAGTTGAAATGTGCAGGATTCAAACTTTTGTAAACCTTTTTGGTCTGTTTCTAGTCTAAGATGATAAATGAATTTGACTATGATGAACATGATGAAACTAAGACTCCACAGTCTTAGCAATAATGTAAAATTTTGTGTATTCATTGGTTGCAAGTAATTACCATGTTCATGCTGTTCATAGCTCAGTTAAAGGACTTGCACCTGGATACTTGTTCAACATTCCTACATAATTGCTTCGTAAGGTCCATATCTAAAACTGTTTAATGCTCAATTTTGTTATAGTTTAATTTTGCTCCATCGTCGGAAACCCACGGCCGAGATTGGCCATATGGCTCCCGAGGATGATTTTGCTCCAAGTTCTAGAGGTGAACATTACAACTAAGGGATACCCACACACCTCAATATTGTTGTGAGTTGTTGAATTATGAACTGGATAATGAATTATGTATATAATGAAGTAATATGGACTGTACTTTCAGTCTCTCTGTGTGCAGTGTCCATGTTTTATTTTATTGTGCCTTAACACATATTGCATATGTCAAGGGTTTGTTTAAATTCCACAATCTTTGAACAGAGGAAGAAAAAAAATTGTATTAAGGGCAGAAGCTAGTGAGTGTGATAGGTTTTTTTTCACAAAGAACAGATTGAGATGTATGTTCTCAATTTATATTGTGGATGTTGTGCAATACAGAATTCTTTGCAATTTATTTATGTATTTTGCCATTATTGAGCCATCATCATATACCCACAGGTGATCTCATTTTTTAGTCATCACCCGTGGGCAAACTTGCCGAAATATTGTCTTATGTAATTAATATCATTAATGGGTCGTTTGATTGGCTGCTGCACAGAATCGCGATGGCAAGTCAATGAATCACAGTTAACATTACATATGTACGTTTGGCAATGACAAATGCTTTTCCATAGTTAACACACCAATTGCAAACAAATCCACTCGCCAACCAGTTTGAAAAAGGTACTCTTATATCATTCCTGAATGGTATTTAATGCCAGTGACATGTACAATGTGTCTTTTATAGTTTTAAAATTTTTACTGCGTCACGATATTACCATAAATAGCAAACTTATAAACATATTTTCAAAATTGAAGAGTTCCAACTTTCTGATTGTTTGTCTATATAAGCAACAAATTTGCATTATAAACGACAATACTTCAGCGAGTTTGCCCACGGCTGATAAGTGAAAGACGAGATCCCCTGTGGGTATCTGACAATGACATTATTGAGTACTGTTACAAAATATTTTGCAGTCTCTATATTGCTTGAATTGAACAAATTCTTGCTACCAAATATGCTTATTTTAGAGTAGTTTCTATGTACTCATGGTGGTGAGATAGATTTTTTGAAAAACTCTGAAATCTCCAAACTGTACCAGAAATCCAATTTATAGCAAAGAAAGACATGCTAATTAGGAATTCCTTCTCAAATGGGAAATCTGAACAATTGTAAAATATTTCATGTAGATATAGTTTTGCTGCCCATGGTGCACTATATCTCATTTGACTATTGAGAAAGGCTATTGTATTATTACAGGAAAAAAACTGTGGCATTTAAGATATTATAATCATAGCACCACTCATGTAAAGGCATTAGTGATGTTTGTGCTCCTTGTTTGTCTGTGATAAATATTAATTTATGAATTCAACTTATTCTGCCTGTAGATGGTGAAAGGTATTTCTCGTATAGAAAAAGAATGTGATTGTTCAAAACTAAATGTAATAAACTGTATCTAAATACTTAACAAGATCGTTTTAGTCTTTTTTCCCCCCGCTAAACTATGAAAGGTTTATTATGCAATTTCAATGAACATATAGAAAATTTTAGCAGGATGCATACAGTTTTATCACAAGGTTATTTTCTAAATGTGCACCAGATTGAAATTTGTTTATAAAGAAGAAAAAAAATCTTTGCTCATATCAAAGTAGAGCAGTAAGGCTTCATAAAGAGCATTTTTATCTTACCTCAACAAAGTTATGTAATACCCTTGGCGTCGGTGCCACAGGTTAAAGTTTTTGGAGCAGATTTCTTCAAGTACTTTTATGCCCTATATTAATCAGAGATGCATGGAGGATGCTTCTAGTATGTTTTATTGTACCAGTCAAGGTTTCAGATGCTGCAATTTTAACGAAAGAATGACCAGGTTTATGTTTTTGAAGTAGGTTAAAGTCTTTGGAGCAAGTTAAAGTTTTTGAAGCAGGTCTCGTTTCCAAGTAACTATAAGCTCTATATTGACCAAACTTTACTGGATGATACATCTAAGGATGTACAATACTGGAGTTGCTTCAGATGCTGGATATGACCTTCATTTTCCAGATGAGTGCCCAGGTTAAAGTTTTTAGAGCAGGTCCATTACCAAGAAACTATAAGGCCTATTTGAACCAAACTTGCATGGATGATGCATCAAGGGGGTGAACACTCTTAAAATTTCTTCAGATACTGGATTTGAATGACATTTTCTGGATGAGTGACTAGTTTAAAGTTCTTAGATAAGACCATTCCCAAGTATCACATCTAGTCACTCTGCATGTAAGAACTTGTTTATGTATTTTATTTTTAGCTCTTCTTACACAAAAGGATGAGGATATGTTGTAGAATAAAATTTGCATGGGGATTTACCCTGGAGCAAAGGGCATGGTCTCAAGGTCACTTCAAAGTTGACAAAAAATTACATTTTATTAAAATGTTGATATTTTGCTTACTATAGGGACTAGGATCATCAAATTTTGTCAGTTGATGCATCTAAGGACCTCATATCATTGACTCAAAAGTAGGTCATGGTGACCTACTTTTTAAATTTTGAGGCCATTCTTTTTCAAAATGATTTAGAGGCATATTTTAAACAGTTTAAGGCCTATGATCATCAAACTTTGTCAGTTGATGTATCTTGGGTCCCCAGAGTATGTGGAATAAAAAGTAGGTCACCTTGACCTACTTTTTGAATTTTATGGCTAATCTTTTTCAAATCAATTAAGGTCATTAATTCGAATACTGAGAGGTTTAGAATCATTAAATCTTGTAAGATGATGCGTCTTGGGGCCATAAAACATATTTATTAAAAGTGGGTCACAGTGACCTATTTTTTGAACTTTGCAGGCATTCGATTTCAAAGTGTTTTAGAGGCATACGTTGGACATTTTAAGGCCTATGATCATAAAACTTTGTAAGTTGATGCATCTTGGGTCTTCGAAAAACGTCAACTGAAAAGTAGGTCACCGTGACCTACTTTCCAATTTGTATGACTATAATTAAATATTTCAGGTACGAATTGGCTTAGAATCATCAAACTTTGTCAGTTGATGCATCTTGGGTCCTCGGAGTACATCGACTGAAAAGGAGGTCACCTTGACCTACTTTTCAAGTTATATGACTACAATTAAATATTTCGTGTACTTATTGGCTTAGAATCATCAAACTTTCTCAGTTGATGCATCATGGGTCTTCGGAATAGGTCGACTGAAAAGTAGGTCACCATGACCTACTTTTCAATTTATATGATTATAATTAAATATTTCAGGTTCTAATTGGCTTAGAATCATCAAACTTTGTCAGTTGATGCATCTTGGGTCTTCAGAGTAAGATGATTGAAAAGTAGGTCACCATGACCTACTTTTGAAAATTTATGGCTTTAATTAAATATTTCGGGTACTAAGTGGCTTAGAATCATCAAAGTTTGTCAGTTGATGCATCTTGGGTCCTTGGAGTATGACAACTGAAAAGTAGGTCACCGTGCCCTATTTTTGAAATTTTTTGGCTGCATTTTATATTTTCGGATACTATTTGGCTTGGAATCATCAAAATTTGGCAGCTGATGCATCTTGGGTCCTCGGAGTAGGTCGACTGTAAAGTAGGTCACCGTGACCTACTTTTCAATTTATATTACTATAATTAAATATTTCGGGTACTTATATAATTGGCTTAGAATCATCAAATTTTGTCAGTTGATGCATCTTTGATCGTTGGAGTAGAGCGACTGAAAAGGAGGTCACCTTGACCTACTTTTCAATTTATATGACTATAATTAAATATCTTGGGTATTAATTGGCTTAGAATCATCAAACTTTGTCAGTTGATGCATCTTGGGTCTTCGGAGTGGGTCGACTGAAAAGTAAGTCACCACGACCTACTTTTGAAAATTTATGGCTTTAATCAAATATTTCAAGTACTAATTGGCTTAGACTCATCAAACTTTTTCAGTTGATGCATCTTGGGTCTGCAGAGTTAGTTGACTGAAAAGGAGGTCACTGTGACCTATTTTTCAAATTTTATGGCTTTATTTAAATATAACAGGTACTTACCAGCTAGGAATCATCAAACTTAGTTGATGCATCTTGTGTCCTCAGAGAACGACAAGTGATAAGTAAGTTACCATGACCTACTCTCAGGTACTAATTGGCTTACAATCGTCTTGGGTTCTCAGAGTGTTTCATCTAAAATGTAGGTCATGATGACCTACCTTTGGAATTTCAAGGCTTTATCTAAATATACAGGATACTTAGAGGCTTCAAATAGAAGTGATAGGTTGTACAGTTTATTAGAAGAGCGATTCAAGGCCCTTGATTTCTCTTGTATTTTTTTTTTTCATATTCTGTTTATTTTCAAAAATTTTGAGATAAGGATAAAAGTATGTCCTTAGTTCTTTCTTTTATTGGTCAAATTTTAACACAGGAAGTTTTTTTTTTATTTTGCAAAAAAGTATATGCAGCATTTGACCTATGCCTGTCAAACTTAATGAATTCAAGTGTTTAGCTCAACTGAACTGAAAGCTCAAGTGAGCTTTTCTGATCAACACTTGTCTGGCATCTGTCCATCTGTCTGTCTAAACTTTTCACATTTTTGACTCAGGTGAGCTTTTTGCCAATGGATATCTTATTCTAATATATATTTCTACTCTAGCAATTTTGAATTCACACAAAATATATCTTAATGTAGTCTGCACTTCTTAATCAGATTATGCAGTGAAAGCCAGTTGACCCCAGTGGATACTTTCTGTAAAATATTTTTGTAAGTTTTTTATTGTCAAATTTGTGAAGGTAAGTCGATTTGAACATCTAAAAGTGCCTTAATTTAGTTATAAAGCTCCTACTATTAACTCTAAAGTAGCCCTTAAATTTGCCTTTATTTTTTTGTGAAATAGCGCTGGACAGCCTGAAATTATAATTGAAATCCAGACAATTTCAGCATTCCTTGCAGTTTTAAAATGGACAGTTTTATAAATGGAATAATATCGACTAATCTTAGTGTGAGTTATCTCTCTTATCAGAGGGTCATTAAACTTTAATTTAATTATGTGTCTGTCTCTGTAAAGTTGAAAGGTTAACTTAAACAAGATGTATTTGCTAAACACTGATGTCCACTGGCAACTTATAGCGAAGTTTAACTTTCTCAAATGCAAATCAAGTATGTTGGTACCCAAAGTAAGGTCCTGTCTTGAGGAATATACCTGTGAAGTATGAAAGCCCTAGCAGCAACTATTGAATAGATATTTAAAAGGTTAAAGTTTTCCAAAATTAGGTCAAACTCCAAGGTCAAGGTCAATGGGCTATAATTCTATTGTTGGTGTCCAAAGGAAGGTCTTGTCACAAGGAATGTACATGTGAAGTATTAAAACACTGGCACCAACTGTTCAAAAGTTATAACCAAAGTTTAAGTTTTACAAAATTAGGTCAAACTCCAAGTTCAAGGTCAACGGGTCAAAGTTGTTGGTATCCAAAGAAAGGTCTTGTCAGAAGGAATGCATATGTATAGTATGAAAGCCCTAGCACCAACCATTCAAAAGTTATGGCCAAGGTTAAAGATTTTCAAAAGCAGGTCAAACTCCTAGGTCAAGGTCAAAGAGTCAAAGTTGTTGGTATCCAAAGGAATGTCTTTTCACAAAGATTAAACTTATGAAGTATGAAAGCCCTAGCACCAACCGTTCAAAAATTATGGCCAAGGTAAAAGTTGGGTAAAATTTTGCAAATCTGGGTCAAACTCCAAGGTCAAAAGATCAAATATGATGGTACCCAAAGAAAGGTCTTGTCCCGAGGAATACACATGTGAAATATGAAAGCCATAGCTCCAACCAATCAAAAGTTTTGGGCAATGATAAGGTTTTTGCAGACAAACAGACAGACAGATGGACGGACAAGGCAAAAACTATATGCCCCCGAATCTTCGATTACGGGGGCTTAAAAAACGTGATTTATGTACTTGTACGTATATACGGTAGTTGGCAAAATTAAAAACTTGAAAGCTATTTTGATATAAAAAGATTTTCTATACTTCTTGTGTAATCAGTTTCCGGAGTGTTCGTTTGGTAAACTAGGGGTTGATCAGATATAATGGGCATCACAAAGGACGTAATTATAAGACACCCCCCCCCCCCCGACTATTTAAAAGAAGCGGAGATTTAAAAAAAAATCAGCCATTGAATCGTGCACATTTAAGCCCATTTTTAAAACTTACTTATTTTGATGCTGAACCTGAGCTAGACCTACTACCAGTAAACCAGAAGATATCTTGCTCCTGGCGTGTAAAAAATATTTATTAAAAAATATATATGTGAACTACTAAAACGTGTTGTTTTACTAGTTCGTACATTTTTTTTTAAATAAATATTTTTCACACGCCAGGAGCAAGTCCCTGTGACTTAATCTTCACTCTATAGTTTTTAAATGTTGTCTTTTCAGAGAATGTGGAAATTCACATTTTACGCCAGGCACGTGATTTGATGTTCTATTTAATAGATGGAAATATCCATATAAG